AATAAGCTAGGTAATCCATTAATGAATTTTTCTTTCCAAAATGATTTAGTATGCGAGATTACTTAAATCCATTAATGAATTTATACCATCTAAAATCACTTAATGTTGGACAGGTGAGATTACTAAGTTGGTTATGTATGCGAGAATAAATATTTGTAGGGGTACCAATAAAATGTCGGACTATTATATAGATTAATTGATTGAATCCATCAGGGTGACAACATCCAATAGTTTCATCAAAAATAGGTAGACCATTTTCATCAGTTTGATTAGCATATATGATTGAGTCACGTTGTTCTTCAGTAAGGTATTTTTCCCACCAGGATTTGAGCATACCAGTGAAACCAGAGGTAATTAAGGAAACAATTTCAGGTTGAGAATATTGGAGATAATTACTGAGATAACTATTTGCGACCATTGATAAATGATTTAGTTTTTGAAGGATCTGATCTTCACTAAGACCATCAATATTCCATTCATATAATTTTTTAGCAGAAACAAAAAATTGATTATTAAGATTAGTTTCTTCAAATTGGAGATCAGGAGGAGTAGGTCGAGAATACCAGTTTTTGGTAGTTTGAGGGTTAACTTTGGGATAATGAATTTTATTAAGATTAGAAGATTGAAATTGTTGGGCTAATTGATTGATGTCATTATCAGTAGTGTTAGTTTCAGATTGATCGAAAACAGTGTCGGTAATAGGTTGTTGATTTAAAACAGTAAGACCTTTATCTTTGGATGTAGAAGTATCAGTGGGAGTTAATTTAGTAAATAAGTGTTCAATGGCTTTGACAGTAGATTGGTCATTAGTAATTAGGCTAGTTCGTTTGGAACGATGACTAGGGAGGTTAAGTAAAGGTTGATCTAAGGGTTTAGCCGATTTTGTGGATTGTTCTTCTAAATTAGTTTCTAATTTATCTAATTGTTTACCAATGGTTTTTAAACATTGATTAGTATAATTATTTTGTTCAATAACTTTTTTAATTTCAGGGTCAGTACCAGGTAATTTAAAAGGAGAGGCTGGAACTTCAGAACCTTGGTGATCAATAATTATACTTTCTAATGGAGGATGATTAGAGCTAACAGAAGTATTTGGAGAAGTTTTCCATTTATGTTTTGTGATTGTGTTGATCTTTTTGTAATATTGATCCATATAGTCAAAGAAAGATAATTCAAAACCATATTGAACCATAAAATCATACCATTTCCTGAGTAGAATCATATTTAGCACGATAAGCATGTCTTTTAGCTCTATTTTCTCTGGATCTAAAGTCAATAAGTAATTTATCTAAATCAGGAGTAAAATCCTTTTTGATTGTCATTAGTTGAGGATTGACCGGAGGTATAAATTCTTCGAAATCAGTTTGAGTTGGAGAAGTGTTTGAGGCTATGTCTTCTTCTGATAAATGTGTGGGAGTAGTATAAACAGGTTTACTAATCTGGGAAGTGGTAGAATTATCAATTCCTTTTAGTTTATTTTGGGAGGTTTGGTTGGTTTGACCAAGATGTATTTGGCTATTTTTCCGAAATAAAGGAGTGTTAAATATTTCATCTTCAGTTGTAATTTCAGTAGGGACACTAGATGTACTATGCCTAGAGGATTGACTTCGATTAAATTTAATTATGACAGAACCGTCATTGTATTGTTGAATATCTTGAATATCTTGAATTGAGGATTGTTGTTGATTGTGTTTGTAATTTTCATTGACAGTAACCCATTGATCAGGTAAATCTATATTCTTCCATTCAATCATTTGGGGAATATTTATATTAGATTCACCACTACTACTGCTTTGTATTAATAAATTTTTATCTTTGGGGCTTTTGTGTAAAGCATGAACATTTAAATTAGTTTGCATACATTTATAATGAACACGATAAATTAAAGCAATATTATGAACTTTTTCTAACATTTTAGTGAATGAACCATGTAATTGAATATTTAATGTTAATGCTTTGAGAATATGTGGATCGCGTAAACTAAGTGTAAAATCAGGAAAACAATTAAAATGTACTGGACCTTTATGAAGACCAGTTTCCATCATACCCATTAAACTATCATTGTAATTAAGAAAGCGAGCATCTCTTAAACATAATAAAACAGAAGTGTTTTTGTCTTTTTTTTGGGTGAATAAGACATAAATAAAAGACAAAGAATTTACAAGATTACAAGGGGAATACCCTAGGCCCTAAATCAGCTATACAGCAAAAAAGAAACCATAAGCAAACTTAAACAATGTTCAGGATCCATATCTAAGAAAATAGGGAAAATGAACATTGTGAAACCAAAAGGTGAAACTATAGCCATGACAAACCCACAAAACCACAAACCAGTAGCACCTAAGCCGAATGCACACAAACAGGGACGAAAGAGCAAAACCAGCACAGCAGTAGTTCATGTGCAATCCAGAAACTAATGTGACGGCATGAGGCCGAGACATATCGACAGAAGACCTAGTACATCCCACTAGGGTAGGCTTAATAAAATATTGTGCAATGTGAATTAAAAACAACATAAAGGAAGATAGTAATATAAAGGAAGACAACTTGTAAACAACGAGGCGCATCCAGCAGCCATCGGCACTTGACAGCCACTTGTAACTCATATGCAGCAGACCAAAATCCATATTATCAACCCAGCAGGTAGCAGCAGCTATAAGGTAAACAGCAGCAATCACTAAAGCAGCGGACAGCAAGGAGATCACCAGCAGCACCAACACCACAGTAAGGCAGTCCAAATCACAAAAGCCCAATAGAATCCAATAAGAAGGATAATACACACATTTTTTTTTTTTGGGTAAGTAGGATAATACACACATTATTTAAACTCTCATCACTCGGCCCACAGTATAGGACCTCACTACACTCGAAAATTGCTTCCTTAACCTGCAAATAAAGAGATAATATATATATAACGGTTAGCATATAAAACATATGTAGGCTATTTTCACTCAACCCTCAAACATTCCATAGATGCTGCCGAAATGACTAAACAGAGTCAAGAATTTTATGTCTCACTTCACTCAACCCACTTTCCGAGAATATAGACATCACCAGCTGCACAGGACACAAACAATTAGAAAACCCACATTATATAGCTCACCAATACTCAACTCTCATGTGAGAAACTCCCATCACTCAGTAGCCCTCCCAATACGAACAGTACGGGGCTTCAGAATGGAATCAGTCAAATTCCATTCTCAACTCTCATGTGAGAAACTCCCATCACTTAGCAGCCCTCCCAATACGAACAGTACGGGGCTTCAGAATGGAATCAGTCAAATTCCATTGCTTTAAGAACCATTCATCACCTGCAGATCTAGGTAAATTGTTTAATGACATTAGTCTGCCTCTAATCATTTGAACAATTGACTTGATAACAACTTCTTCAGGTTTCATTTCATAGCAGAGCCAGTCTAGTAGTAGTGGCTCTCAGAGATTTACCCATACTCTCCCTAATGGCAACATGAACAATATCAGGCCAAAAAATGTCAGGCCACTTGACATTACACTTAACTTTAATAGCATCCCAAACCTTAAGAGAGAAAATGCAATTAAAGAAAAGGTGGGAGTGGCTTTCAGTGTGGTGATTGCAAAAGGAGCATTTGAAGTCATCGCTCAGGCCAAAAGATTCTAACCTGTCCCCAGTGTTAAGCCTTCCATGTAAGGCAATCCAGACAATGAAACTAACTCTAGGGATAATGAATGGACCCCACAGCAGTTTATTCCAAGCCACCTTATCATATTTATCTCTCCAGTGATTCCAAGCAGATTGGATGGAGAATTTACCATCTTGAGTAAGAGTCCAAATAGGAATATCATTACTCGAAGAGCTGGGTTTAAAAGATGGGGGGGGTCAACGATATAAGGTCTCTAATCTTCCAAGAGTTGGGGAAAGACCAGTTCCAGGAATCCCCATTAACAATATTGCTCACTTTAGCCTCCCCAGGGAGCCCAGAATCATAGATAATCCTGTTCCCAAATTTGTCCCAGATAGAGCCCACCGGATGCCAATTATCATGCCACAAAAAGGTGGCATTACCATTCCCAATTTTATGTAAGATGAGAGGAAATATAAACTTCCAAAGAGAAAGAATCTTCCTCCAGACCCAAGAAGGGTCACTAGGAACAGAGACCTTCCAAAAACTTTTGCCTTTGAGTAAGTAAGATTTAACCCATTGGCACCACATTGACTTCTCACCCCCCGAGAAAAGGAACCAAATATGTTTGGCAATAGCAGCTCTATTCCAAACCTCCAGAGATTTAAAACCCAGACCACCTTCATTCTTGGGAGCGCAAACCTTGTCCCAAGCAATTTTCGCACTGTGCTTTTTCAGATCAACCCCGGACCAGAGAAAGGCTCTAAGTAAATTTTCAATTTCTCTAACAACCTTCTTAGGGAGGATGAACAATGAGGACCAATAGACTTGCATAGAGAACAGAATGGTTTGGATAAGCTGAGCTCTACCAGCATAAGAAAGGGCCTTATTGGTCCAACTCTTAATACGGCTAGTGATTCTGTCAATAAGCTGCTGGCAATCAAAGGCTCTCAAATTAGTGGTGATTAAGGGAACACCCAAGTACTTGACAGGGAGGGTACCTTCATTGAAGTTAACAATCTTAAGAATGTCCTCCCTAAGGCTAGGACCACAACCACAGAAAAAGATATTCTTGCCAGCATTAGGAGTAAGCCCCGAGAGACTCTTGAACTCCTCAAGCCCATGCATAATCAATTGCACAGTAGATGCATCCCCTTTGCTGAATATCATAAGATCATCAGCAAAGCACAAATTAACAATCTTAGTCTTCTCACATTTCCAATGGAATTTAAAAAGAGGATGCTTGGATTTCTCAGCAAGGATCCTAGCCAGGATTTCCATAGCGAAGACAAACAGGTAAGGAGACATTGGGTCCCTTGCCTAAGGCCTCGAGCGCCCTTGAAGTAGCCATGAAGGCTACCATTGATGCAAATGGAAAACGACGGACTAGTGATACAAGCCTTAATCCAGGAAATCATAGAGAGTGGAAAGGCCATAGCCTTCAGGACATCAATAACAAACTCCCATCTAACAGTATCGTAGGCTTTCATAATGTCAACTTTCATAGCACATTTAGGAGTAACGGACTGACGATGATAACCTCTCATGAGCTCTTGGGACAAAAAAATATTATCAGAGATCCTCCTACCTTGCACAAAAGCAGATTGAACAGGGTCAATCAAATCAGGGAGGACAGCCTTAATTCTGTTAGCAATAATCTTAGCTATGCACTTATAGATTGTGTTGCAACAAGAAATAGGCCTAAAGTCACTCGCTCTCAAAGGATTAGGAACCTTAGGAATGAGAGCAATAATAGTGCTGTTAACCTCAGAGAGAAAAGTTTACCAGACTGGAAAAAGGTTCTAATTGCTTGAGTAACCTCCTTCCCAACAATGTCCCACGAGGCCTTAAAAAAACTACCCGTAAAACCATCCGGGCCAGGGGCTTTATTAGCCTTAAGAGACCAAACAACATCCTTAATCTCTTTATCAGAGACAGGACTACCAAGCTTTATAGATTGTTCCACAGAGACTCTAGACTGGACCAGAGAATTTATCCTTTCAAAACCATTGTACTGGTCCTTGAGCGGGGTACCAAAAAGATTTGTGAAAAAACTAATGAAGGATTGATGAATGTCTTCAGGCTTAGACGATGTGCTACCATTATCCAACTCAATGCTAAGGATTTTGCTTCTGTTAATATTGCTCTTAACAGATCTAAAAAAGAACTTGGTATTCCTATCCCCCAGACCCAACCAATCAACCCTGGATTTTTGATGAGCAAGACTCTCCTCCACAGCACATAAATCCATATAATGCCTGTGGTTAGTTCTCTCAAGACTCTGCAAAATCAGATTGCTCGGATCCTTGTCCAATTTACATTGAACAGATTCAAGGTCTGACTTAGCAACAAGGACTCTGGTAGATATGTCACTAAAATCTTTCTTGTTTAGGTCTCTCAACCCAGGTTTCAAATTTCTAAGCTTTTGGCAGACCCTAAACATGGGAACACCCTGAATGTACTGACTCCACTCATTAGAAACCAGGGAAAGAAAGTCCTTATGTTTGGACCAGAAATTAAAGAACTTAAAAGGTTTCTTATAAGAGGAGACAGCATCAGAAACAGTCACAACAGCAGGAGAGTGGTCAGAAATAGTAGAAGGAAGAAAAATAGCAGTAGAGTTGGGAAATTTATCCAGCCAAGACTCATTAACTAAAACTCTATCAATTTTAGTAGCAATATACTCCCCACAATCCCTCTTGTTAGCCCAAGTAAATTGGCAGCCAGAATATGACAAATCGCCAAGCTCAGAGGCAAGAATATAAGAATTAAATTCCTCCTTCTAAGAATTCCAAATCTGAGAGCCTCCAAATTTCTCATGACTGTATCTAGTAGCATTAAAATCCCCTAAGAAGGCAATGGGACATTTGGACTAAGAGTGGGATAATCTAACCATGGTTTCACAAAAGACCCTTCTCAAAGGGTAGTTATTGTCAGCATACACAAAACAGGCAAGGAAAGTAGAGGCCTGAGCTAGATCAGTAATCTTACAAAAAATATGTTGATCAGAGGCAGATAGCTGGTCAACCATACAAAAATTGGAGTCCCAGGAAACACAAATTCTACCAGTTTGATTAGGTTGTGAGTTTGACAAAAAAGGACCAGTTCTTTAAACAGGAAGAGAAAATTTTCTTTTCATTTACAGCTTTTATTTTGGTCTCCAAAATACCCATGACTTTAATATCTTCTTTAACCACAAAATTTTTTAACTCTCTCTGTTTAGAGGGATCATTCAACCCTCTAATATTCCAAGCAGCTATTTTAAAAGTCATGGAAAACAAAAGACAAAACAAAACCCACAACTAAGAAACTGAGAATTACCTCTTCTTTTTCCTCTGGCTACTGCTGCTCTTGCCAGAGGATTTACCTTTTGCTGGAGTTGGTTGATTGGGCACAGGATTAGCCTGAGGACTACCAGGAGTTGAATCCTTGAACTTCTGTACTTCCTCCAGCAATGCTGGGTCTTGAGGGATGATAAGGCTTATAACATCTGCCAAGTTGTTCTTTAGCTCTTGCAGGCCCTCAATGTAGGGAACATCTTCCCCGGTATCAGCAGAAGAACCAGCAAGATTCTGAGAAGCAGCAGGCCTGTTGCCCTCTGCTACTGAGTCAGAATTTTTAGTTTGATCGGTTTCCCTATTCACCAGTAATTCCTCATCAGTAGCTTCAATTTGGTCAGGTAATGGAACCTCCCCTTGCAAATTAGAAGTCAGACCTTCCTCTTCATTTGTCCCATGAGTTCCCTGAGGCACAGGAATTGCCTCATCTCCAGCAATAACTCCAACTTGCATCTTCCCTTTAGCCATAATAGTGGTCCAGCCAGGCTCAGTAGGATTTTCTTCTGTTTCTTTCTGGAGAGACACCAGTTTAGCCACTTGAGTAGTAACACATCTAGTAGTGTCATGGCCAAAAGCTACACAATGTTCACATTTAGCAGGAAGACCTTGGTATTCAACATTCACAACAATTGTTTCACCATCACAATTTATAGGGAAATTTTGGAAGAAGCATCAACTTCCACACAAACTCTGGCAAAAGCAACCCTACCCCCAGTAGCAGTGAGCTGATCCGTGAACAACGGGTTACCAACAGCACTAGTAATCCTACCAAGGCCATCATCATCCCAATATTCTAAAGGAATATTATAGAACCTAACCCAGACTGGTACTTTAGTCACCTTATCCTTCGATAGTTTCATCATACGTTTCCATTTTTTCAGAATAATATTGAAGCCCCCAATGTACCAAGGACCTCCCTCCAGGACTTCAAAGCAGCACTCAGGGTTATCAAAAATGAAGAAAATAAAGCCCTCACCATTAGCTAAAACTTCTTTAAGACCCTTATTCTTCCACATGCTAAATGCACTATTCTTCATGTAGTTGAAGTTAACCCCTTTCCCTAAGAAATAACCCACCAAACAAGAGTCCCACTTTTGAAGGGGATTAGGTCTAGGAGGCAGATCAACGCTGATAAAGTCGTCCTTAACAGTAGGAGGGAAGTACCTGAGAGAGACTTGCGATCTTGTAGCCGAATTTGTGATTTCAGCCCACGATTTCCCCGAGTGATTTCCAGATCCCCTACCTCCACCACGTCCTCTATTTCCTCTACCCCCTCGAATATTAGCCCCTCCACGATCTAGATTATCACCAAATGAGATATCCTCCCTGTGTTCTTCCTGACCCAGAATGGCTTGTAGATTTTTCCTCACATTGTCAGACGGCTGACTTGAATCACCCTCCATAACCTCACGAGACTTCCCATCACCTTTATTCCTTGCTATGTCCAGGCTATCGGGAAGCCTATGGAACACAGAAGGCTCATTCTCACTACGATCTGACCAACGAGGAGTACCTGGAGTCGAAGGGGCTCCGGTGGCCAGGTCGACGATTTAAGCCTTTCAACCCGATCTATAATAGTCCGGGGATCAAAAGTCAGATGGGGGGTTTCGAAATCACGCTCACCTTTGCGATTTACCAGTTGATCCACCAGATGAGGACCATCGACGGAGGCTTCTTCCATCTTCGATTTCTGAGAATCGTTCGAAATAGCCCTTCCATCGGTATGCTGATTTGCCAGATCTTGGGGGTTAACCCTACAATCAGATTGAGATTGGGCTGAATAACTACCTTCCTGTCCAAGAACAGATACCTGAGGATTGATCTTCGATGAAGCCATCGCCTCACCACCAAGGATTTCGAATTTGTTATTAAGAAACCCTAGTTTATCACTCATACTTATTACGTCTAAGTCTACCTTGCAGATTTTGTCAACCCTTGCAAAAGGTGAGCCATCAATGGGAACAGCATTAACTCCAATCATCGTATTCAATAAGGTATTGAAACCCTAGAAACAGAGTTTCTAGAGAGATGCGGGAGCTTCTCACTCTAATCCATGGAGTGGCCAGTGAGGAAAACTCTTGAAGTGTTTTTGTCTACTATGGTCAATGGATTGACACCGACTTGAATTAAGCCAATATGCATAAAATTATAACCATTATCTAAATGGAGAGTAACTTTAAAAACATTTTGTAAAAAAGTAGTTTTATAAATTTCTTTAATTGACAGTTTGGGTATATTCCATCCAGCATCAAATTTATCACTTTGTATTTCAACATCTTCTTCATTAATTACTAATCCCTGATTAGGTATTGAGGGCAAAGCTGTTGACCTAGAACTAACGGATGAGTTACTTCTAAATAATCGACTCATTGTTTTGTTTAATTAATCAGTTTTACAGATATCTTAATACATACCCTATTCTTGTCAATTTTACCACATACCTAGTATACATACATACCCTATCTTGAAACCCCAGAGTCGGATTCTGCCTAAACCGAAGGACTTACACTAGACTGGGAAGAAGTGGGTGACTTAAACTAGGTGGATAGAATAGACTGATCTTTTGGGTGATTAAGATGAACTGAAAACAAGATTAACCAAATAAACAATAGAGAAGATTGAATAGAAGAAGCACAACAGTTAGAAACAATCACTTGGCTCTAATATCATTTTCTCTTTAATTTAGATAACATTAAATGAGTTGCTTTTGTTAAACTAATATCGTTAAGCCACAATTACTCAATAAATTATTATTATTTTTTTTAGAGGCCAATCAAGATTAGTTTGGGTTAAACTTGGTCACTTAAGCAAATGAAACAATTAGTTGCCAAAACTAATTAGTTCGTAGAACAAAACAGAGAACGATGGGGAAGGACGAGGAGAGTTAGAGAGAATCCATCTTCCTGAGAGCTCGGAGGGAAAGTTAGAGCAAAGAAAAGGGAAATAGGATGAAAATTGAGGGGAATTCAAATTCATCATTTTGGAGTTGAGAATTGAACAGTTAGGTGATGTAGAAAACACTACATGGGCTGCTTAAGTTAAAATAATATCGTTGAGTTATAATTAGGTGATTTACAGAACCTCAAACAAGGTGCCTAAGTTAAACTAATAACGTTAAGCTACAATTTCTCAGTAAATTCTCTTTCTTGGAGGCCAAGCGTGATTAGCTTGAGTTAAACTTGGCCACTTAAGCTGATGAAACAGTTAGTTGCCTAAGCTAGTTCGTTCCTAGAGGAAAAGAGAGTGGGATGTAGAAGTACGGAGAGTTTTAGAGAGAAAAACTTTCTTCGTGGGAGCTAGAAGAGAAAGTTTGAGAAAAGAATGGTAAATAGGATGAAAATTAACGAGAATTCTAAATCATCCTTTTCTAATTGAGAGTTGAACACTAGGGAGATTTAGAAAACCGTACATGAGGTGCTTAAGTTAAACTAATATCGTTAAGCTACGATTACTCGGTAAAACCTCTTTCTTCGAGACTAAGCTAGATTAGTTTGAGTTAAACTTGGCCACTTAAGCCAGTGAAACGATTAGTTACCTAAACTAATTAGTTCCTAGAACGAAAGAGAGGTGGTTGGAGATGGACAGAGAGAGTTAGAGAGAAACTTTCTCCTTGGGAGCTAGAAGAGAAAGTTAGAGAAAATGAAAGGAAACGGGATGAAAATTAAAGGGAATTGAAATTCATCCTTTTGGACTTGAGAATTGAACACTTAGGTGATTTAGATAACATTAAATGAGTTGCTTTTGATAAACTAATGTCATTAAGCCACAATTACTCAATAAATTATTATTATTTTTTTGGGGGGCCAATCAAGATTAGTTTGGGTTAAACTTGGTCACTTAAGCAAATGAAACAATTAGTTGCCTAAACTAATTAGTTCCTAGAACAAAACTGAGAACGATGGAGAAGAACGGGGAGAGTTAGAGAGAATCCTTCTTCCTGAGAGCTCGGAGGGAAAGTTAGAGCAAAGAAAAGGGAAATAGGATGAAAACTGAAGGGAATTCAAATTCATCATTTTGGAGTTGAGAATTGAACAGGTAGGCCGAAAACATTACATGGGCTGCTTAAGTTAAAGTAATATCGTTGAGTTACAATTAGGTGATTCACAGAACCACAAACAAGGTGCCTAAGTTAAACTAATAACGTTAAGCTACAATTTCTCAGCAAATTCTCTTTCTTGGAGGCCAAGCGTGATTAGTTTGAGTTAAACTTGGCCACTTAAGCTAATGAAACTGTTAGTTGCCTAAGCTAGTTCGTTCCTAGAGCAAAAGAGAGAGATATGTTGAAGTACGGAGAGTTTAAGAGAGAAAAACTTTCTTCGTGAGAGCGGGAAGAGAAAGTTTGCGAAAAGAATGGTAAGTAGGATGAAAATTAACGGAATTCTAAATCATCATTTTCTAATTGAGTGTTGAACACTAGGGTGATTTAGAAAACCGTAAATGAGGTGCTTAAGTTAAACTAATATCATTAAGCCACAATTACGCAGTAAAACCTCTTTCTTGGAGGCTAAGCAAGATTAGTTTGAGTTAAACATGGCCACTTAAGCCCGTGAAACGATTAGTTGCCTAAACTAATTAGTTCCTAGAACGAAAGATAGGTGGTTGGAGATGGACGGAGAGAGTTAGAGAGAAACTTTCTCCTTGGGAGCTAAAAGAGAAAGTTAGAGAAAAGGAAAGGAAACGGGATGAAAATTAAAGGGAATTGAAATTCAACCTTTTGAACTTAAGAATTAAACACTTAGGTGATTTAGATAACATTAAATGAGTTGCTTTTGTTAAACTAATATCGTTAAGCCACAATTACTCAATAAATTTTTATTATTATTTTTGGAGGCCAATCAAGATTAGTTTGGGTTAAACTTGGTCACTTAAGCAAATGAAACAATTAGTTGCCTAAACCGATTAGTTCCTAGAACAAATCAGAGAACGATGGAGAAGGACGGGGAGAGTTAGAGAGAATCCATCTTCCTGAGAGCTCGGAGGGAAAGTTAGAGCAAAGAAAAGGGAAATAGGATGAAAATTGAGGGGAATTCAAATTCATCATTTTGGAGTTGAGAATTGAACAGTTAGGTGATGTAGAAAACATTACATGGGCTGCTTAAGTTAAAGTAATATCGTTGAGTTATAATTAGGTGATTTACAGAACCTTAAACAAGGTGCCTAACTTAAACTAATAACGTTAAGCTACAATTTCTCAGTAAATTCTCTTTCTTGGAGGCCAAGCGTGATTAGCTGTAGTTAAACTGGGCCACTTAAGCTGATGAAACTGTTAGTTGCCTAAGCTTGTTCGTTCCTAGAGCAAAAGAGAGAGGGATGCAGTAGTACGGAGAGTTTTAGAGAGAAAACCTTTCTTCGTGAGAGCTAGAAGAGAAAGTTTGAGAAAAGAATGGTAAATAGCATGAAAATTAACGGGAATTCTAAATCAGCCTTTTCTAATTGAGAGTTAAACACTAGGGAGATTTAGAAAACCGTAAATGAGGTCCTTAAGTTAAACTAATATCGTTAAGCCACAATTACTCGGTAAAACCTCCTTCTTGGAGGCTAAGCTAGATTAGTTTGAGTTAAACTTGGCCACTTACGCCTGTGAAACGATTAGTTACCTAAACTAATTAGTTCCTTAAACGGAAGAGAGGTGGTTGGAGATGGACGGAGAGAGTTAGAGAGAATCTTTCTCCTTGGGAGCTAGAAGAGAAAGTTAGAGAAAAGGAAAGGAAACGGGATGAAAATTAAAGGGAATTGAAATTCATCCTTTTGGACTTGAGAATTGAACACTTAGGTGATTTAGATAACATTAAATGTGTTGTTTTTGTTAAACTAATGTCGTTAAGCCACAATTACTCAACAAATTATTATTGTTTTTTTTAGAGGCCAATCAAGATTAGTTTGGGTTAAACTTGGTCACTTAAGCAAATGAAACAATTAGTTGCCTAAACTAATTAGTTCCTAGAACAAAACAGAGAACGATAGAGAAGAACGGGGAGAGTTAGAGAGAATCCTTCTTCCTGAGAGCTCGGAGGGAAAGTTAGAGCAAAGAAAAGGGAAATAGGATGAAAATTGAGGGGAATTCAAATTCATCATTTTGGAGTTGAGAATTAAACAGTTAGGTGATGTAGAAAACATTATATGGGCTTCTTAAGTTAAAGTAATATCGTTGAGTTACAATTAGCTGATTTACAGAACCTCAAACAAGGTGCCTAAGTTAAACTAATAACGTTAAGCTACAATTTCTCAGTAAATTTTCTTTCTTGGAGGCCAAGCGCGATTAGTTTGAGTTAAACTTGGCCACTTAAGCTAATGAAACTGTTAGTTGCCTAAGCTAGTTTGTTCCTAGAGCAAAAGAGAGAGGGATGTAGAAGTACGGAGAGTTTTAGAGAGAAAAACTTTCTTCGTGAGAGCTGGAAGGGAAAGTTTGAGAAAAGAATGGTAAGTAGGATGAAAATTAACGGAATTCTAAATCATCATTTTCTAATTGAGTGTTGAACACTAGGGTGATTTAGAAAACCGTAAATGAGGTGCTTAAGTTAAACTAATACCGTTAAGCCACAATTACTCCGTAAAACCTTTTTCTTGGAGGCTAAGCTAGATTAGTTTGAGTTAAACTTGGCCACTTAAGCCCGTGAAACGATTAGTTGCCTAAACTAATTAGTTCCTGGAACGAAAGAGAGGTGGTTGGAGATGGACGGAGAGAGTTAGAGAGAAACTTTCTCCTTGGGAGCTAAAAGAGAAAGTTAGAGAAAAGGAAAGGAAACGGGATGAAAATTAAAGGGAATTGAAATTCATCCTTTTGAACTTAAGAATTCAATACTTAGGTGATTTAGATAACATTAAATGAGTTGCTTTTGTTAGACTAATATCGTTAATCCACAATTACTCAATAAATTATTATTATTATTTTTGGAGGCTAATCAAGATTAGTTTTGGTTAAACTTGGTCACTTAAGTAAATGAAACAATTAGTTGCCTAAGCTAATTAGTTCCTAGAACA